GCTGGTGGGAAGTGGGACAGCTACACAGGAGGAAATGAAACTGCTGCAGTTTATAACCAGATTATAGTTTCATCCTGGGCTGGTGTTACTTTTCATCTCAGTGGCTAAGCTGAGTTGATTTTGTGCTATGAATCTTAACTGGCACACCTGGGAGAAGGAAAGATGATCTGAAAGTTAGAAGTTTTCATCTAAGCTGCACCTGTTGTGTTAGCATGATAGTAAGTGAGTGAGTGAATGACTTAAGCCTAGTGTCATCTCACCTCACCTTAAATGCTTGAGAAAGAGATACCTACATTAGAGTTTTTATCCCCTTTCCCAAGATCTAAATAGCCTCTAGACACAAACAAAACATTGTTTGTTGGTGTTTTTTTAAAATATCGCTAATCCCCAAGAAAATACTTCTGATCCTGAATTTTGGATTGATCTCATCTGAGATGAAATCCTGTAGATTTTGGTGGAAGGTAAATTGTTTTTGTGGCACAGCAGTTAAAAAAAAAATGAAGCCAATCACAAATTTGCTTACATTAGGAACAGCCTTAGGAAGGGAGATTTATGAGCAGACTAACCAGTTTGCTGGTGAAAGGTATGTGTTGTGTGCCATGAATCGTATGGGTCTACCATCTATCACATGGATAGAAAACAGCACCCCATCTCATACGAATGTATTAGTCAGACAAGTAGGCCTGGTAAATCATGACAATTTATGGTAGAGTTGCATACCTCGTGGCCTGCCTGTGCCTCTCCGGCCAGCCTAACTTCAAAGAGTGCTTTTCCTGAGATGAAGTCTGATCACCTACCACAGCTGGTTGCCCAGAGAAGTAACTTAGTGTGTATTTTTTTAATGTATTTATCTCTTTACTTTGGCACTATGCATGTCATGGCTGCCATTTTTATTTCTGAAACGTGTAACATCATGATGCTGATGAAAGCACTTGTTGTTTCCCATGGTACTTCCTAAAAGAATATCTGCCATACACAGTCTGAAAAGAATACATTTTTCAACTGTGAGAGTGTTTCCTAGAAGTGGTGTTTCCCACATGCTCAGTGGCAAGTAGCCTTAGCATTGAAAATCTTGTAGAAACAGTGAATCTCATGCTAAGCAGGTCCTTGCTTGCAAGAATACATGCTGTCACTCCAAGGTTGAGAAGTCTTTGCTATACTAGGCACATTGTTATAAGTATAATGGAGGGGTCCATAATGGGGATGCCATATTTTTATCAAATGCAGCTGATATTAACATCTTCATTTTGATGGTGCACTGTATTTAAGTAAGCATCTGTTTGCATAGATCTGTCAGCATTCCCATTATAAACCCATCTTTTCAAGAAGACATAATGTGGGAGCAAACCTTAAACCAAGCTGTGAGTTCTTTGTCTGTAAATAACGGATCCACGCAATATTCAAGCTGTAGATAACGATTATATCATTGGAAAAATTTTATGTGATCATGTAACTGAAAAATAATACGAGGTAACTCAGAGATATATTTGAGGATATATATGTGTCTATCTTAGGCAGTTCCCTGTCTTTTGAATGTCATGTATCTTTAACATTCTCAATTTTAAATATATGTGTAAAAACTGGCATATGAATGTGTGCAATATGTATTTATAGGTTGCATGTGTCTCTTCATAGTAGAGAGGAAGCAGCCTTTATATGTATGTGTATGTGATACTGGGGCCTGGGTATCTGAATGTATGTATGAATGAGGGGAGCAAAGAAAGAGAGAGGGAAAAGGACTCTTAAACTGCATGAAACTGTGCAGCACCCAGCTGTTGGTCTTGATAATTTGTCCACATCGTACCGTTAGCGTCAGTGAGATACCTTGTGAGCTTATGGCTTTTGCTGGACCAAATCCAGAGTGCCTAGCACGTCCAGCATTGCTTCCTGTAGGAGAGGAGTCTCCATATGGATAATCACTTGCTATTGCACTCAGTGCCTGTTGCCTCACCATTGCAGGATAGGCCCATCCTTAATGCAGACTGCTTGCCACATACAGAGTGACAGTGCTACAGGCTAAATCACAGCCTGCCCTGTGCTGGTTCTCCTACCTGAAGGAGCACACCTTAAGTAAGCTGTGTTTGCCCAGCCTGCAGAGCATGGCTCCGAAGGCTGCCGAGCAGTTTAGGCTCATGGTGCCTGTTGCCTCACCATTGCAGGATAGGCCCATCCTTAATGCAGACTGCTTGCCACATACAGAGTGACAGTGCTACAGGCTAAATCACAGCCTGCCCTGTGCTGGTTCTCCTACCTGAAGGAGCACACCTTAAGTAAGCTGTGTTTGCCCAGCCTGCAGAGCATGGCTCCGAAGGCTGCCGAGCAGTTTAGGCTCATGGTATG